GAGGAAACTGTTTTGGCCTCCCTGTGTTTAGTTGTGTTTAGTATTCCCTCAGTGACTGAGCTGTTTAATTAAAGAAATCTCTTGTTAAATTAAATAGTTTGCTTCATGTTCCAGGGTATTAATAAAGCTCCTCCTGAATTTATTAATCACCAAAGGCACAGACAACAAATGTTTACAAATCCCACAAAAAGCCTCAGTGTGTGTGTGTGTGTGTGTATACTTACAGTATGTTAAGGGTTGATAATGTTACACTATCGCAGACACCAGACACACAGGGTGTCATAGTAAAATACTTTTAAAGCTGTGTGTATTTCCTGTTTAGGCCTGTTTTGGTTTCTTGGACCAGTCCTGCAGCATAATTACTTTTTGTTTGTTCAAACACTGATTTTTTTTTTGATTTTTTTTTTTAAATGTATTTATTTATATTTCTTGCATATCTGTTTTTATTTTTTGTTAATGACCAACATTAGCGAACATAGCAACAAAAGTGAACAGCAATTGGTAGAAGTTCTGTTTTTAGCCATGTTTGGGTCACTGTTGTAACTGTTGTGATCCAAGTGGAGTTTATTCAAAAGAATGAGGATTTTAATGGAATTTTCCTTTAAACTAGAACCTTAGTTTAACAAGTCCGATGATAATATACTGATTTATATTTTTTTACTTTGAACATAAACAAATGTTTTTGATAAGGAACTCTCAAATCTGACTGTTAAAGAGTCAGGTTACGTACTAAGCTTGATATTTTATAATTGAAGAACAGGGTGGTAACTGAGGAGAGTTGTTGTAAAAGCCTGTTGTTCATTTGAATCAGTCATTGCCCAAAAGCTAGCAGAGTGTGATATTAATAGGCCTCTGTTAATGTCAATGAATGACGAATGAAGACATCAAACAACAGTAATGTCCCAAATTTGAAATATAAAAAGATGAGTGTTTAAAAGGCGGATTACACTCACTACATTTACATACATCCACACTGTTGTCCAGAAACTCAAACCTGCGTCTCTGTGCTGCTGCTGCCTTCCTCAGTGTTTTGTCACTGATAAATTACCAGCGGTGATTTGCTCTTTTACGGTCTTGTTAATCCTCAATGAAAGACTCACTGACAGATTGATGTGTGTGGGCTGTTTGTCATTTCCACAGACCTATAGACTTCTCTTGTTAATGGGCTTTGAATGACAGACGGCGGAGAAGTGGTTCAGTGTAGTTCTGCCTCCTGAGGAAAAACTCAACACGAGGCATTTACATGTGGAGGGAGGGAGATTAGCTCTTTACTTCAGCCAACGGTCACATTTAACAGGGACACTGTAAATGCCAAGAACAGAGGTTGTATAATAGTGTGTGTGCATGTGTGTTTGTGTATATGTGTGTGTTCTTTCACCCTGTTTTTCTGAAGGCAGGCGTATACACTGTATTTTTTGAATGTGTATAATTATATTTTCCCTTGTGTTTCTGCTCAAAGTAACATGTAACATTTAGACAATATAAAGACAATACAGCGTCATTATTTAAAGGCAGTATGCACACAGGCGGCTTTTCCTTCGGATATAATAAAGTTCACCTGATGGTTCATTCAGCAGCTGTAGGTGCAGTAGCCAAGAGGTCTTAGTTTTGACTTGGCTTACACTTGATGTTGTCATCTCCCTCTCTATTGTTAAATAGAAAAGGTCAAATAGAATCACCTCCTCATGGTTGTATCCCTCCGCCAATCAGCCAAGTTGCAGGAAATATGGTCACAGTCTCCCTTTCCTGAGTTACAGTATTGAATAAGTGTTTTTGCAGAACATTATGATGTCAGGGTGAAGTTGACCTTTGACCTTTTGGGTAGAAAATGTCATCACTTCAGTTATCCTTACAAGACATTTGAGTTAAATTGTGTCATAATTAGCATATTAATCTGTGCGTTATGGCAAAAACTGTTTTTTGCAACGTCACAGTGACCTTGAACTTTGACCTTTGATGATCAAATTCTAATCAGTTCATCTTTGAGTCCAACTGGACGTTTGTGCCAAATTTGAAGAAATTCCCTGAAGGTGTTACTGAGTTACCACGTTCACAAGAATGGGACGGCGGACAACCCGAAAACATAAACCCTGGTCTGAAGGTGTACCAGCGGCCTCTAGAGGCACCTACGGTCATTACATCCCACCAGAGGGGATTTTTCTGTTTTTATACACTTTGTCCTGAGGGCCGTGCAAGAGTAAAGGTCATGAGGTCTTGTAAAAATCAGAAGGGGTTCAACCTCTGGATTGTGCAGAGTAAATTTCATGTCCAGGTTTTGACTTTATCCTCTGAAGGTCGACTGAAGGTGGCGCTGACGGAGAGCTGACCATGATGGACTGAGCAAAATGGGAAAGGTTCGTCCTCAGAGGAGCATGAATGTGCAGGTAAGTGTGCATTAGATTTAGAGCTTTTTGTTTTCAAACGGAGGTTTTGACCCGATGGTGGTGCTGGAGTAAAGGTCAACAAAATACTGCTGTAGGAATCATCATGATTATCTAAAGTAAATTTAATGTAAATCTGCTCATTAGTGTTTCATATCTTTCATACCCACAACAACATTTCAAGAGAATCTGGCCAGTTTTGTTGAAATGTTTTGCTTTTAACTAAAATGTTGGATGAACAAATCATTTGTCAAATTCACATAAAAAAGTATTTATAACTTGGTTTCAACTGTTTCATACATGCGTCTCTGAAATGACGCCATCGGTCAGCAAGCAGATGGCATGTATAGCATGTGTGTGTATTTCCTGTGTGGGTCCCTGTATTTTTCGTGCAGGGGTGGGACCCTCAGCTGCACTGGAACAAAGCCAGGAGGGAAAATCACAGACATTTGAACCGAAAATGGCAGGAAGGAGGAAAGAAACGGAAAGAAACAGAAGTGGATGGGAGGGAGTGTCACAGAGGGATTACAGAGGAGACTGATCGATGACAGTGAAGGGAAGGCAAGGAGATGGCTCTAAAGAAATTACAGCTGAGAATTGGGGGCAGGATAAATTAGGAAAGCGGATGTGTCTCATTTTCTTACCTGGTTGAAATATTAACCACGAGAGGGCCAGAAGAGCATCACAAATCTTCACCTCTCCACTATACAAATGCAGATATATCTAAAAACACATCCTGTATGTACCGTGTCTGCGACTAGAATCAAGGGAAATGAGATTTGATTCTTTAAACAAGTTGATTTATGCTGAAAACAAGTTACTAAATAAGACTTTAAGGCGTCAACAGACCTACATGACTTAATAAGATACATGTAATAGTTTTCTACTACAGTTAAAGAAGTGTAGTATCATTATAGCAAAGGTTATACATTAATACGCATGTTTGTCACGTCCGGCTCGGCCAACCTTCATGCAGTGCTTGGGCCAGGACTGGGACAAGTGCACAGTTTTGCTTCACATGTATTTCACAGTGCAATACCAGTGTAGAAGTGAATGACTGTTCAGTCCTGAGGGACAGATATGTGCCAAGATCAAGTCATTTTTTTTAGGCTTGGAGAAACCTTGAGTATGTGGCACAAGAGTTGCCAAACTAGTTTTGAATTCTCGTCGGCCATCTTGCCCAGTTTTGTTGTTGATGAACCACCATTAATCTAAATCTTTCTGCTGTTTTGGGGTTTTTTTCCCCCCCAAGTGATAAATGTTGAGAAAAATATGCAACACCATTAGTGCGTGAAACATTTCCAGCGTTCTTGAACGTGTCTGCATGAGTGAGGACGCTGTGTGACTCTCTGTGTAGCATCTTGGAAAAATTAAAGGCGAGAACATTAACACATCAAAGGTCAGACACGGGGGCAGCAGAGCTCCCAGGTGCTGTGAGGATTTACATCAGGTCAGTGCTTTGGTTGATCTGTGGCCTGACCCAACCTGAGGCCAGATCCCAGCTGTTGATATGTTGGCTCCCGCATCAGAAAACCTGTCAACACGAGAGCCTCATTTACATTTAAAGTGCTCTCTCTCTTCTGTGCCGACACAGCATGGATATGTATGGAATTTAATTTTAGTCATTCTGCCCCTATTCTGTATTTGAAAATATAAAATTATAGTTTTAAAACATAGAATTTTAAATTTTAAACTAAAAATTTAGATTTTTTGGGGGAAAATTTATTGAAAAGGGAAAACTCTCTCTACTATCCAAAAAATAAAGCAGAAATGGCCAAAAAATATCAAACAAAATGTGAAAAAGTGAAGGTGTCTGAGAACTTATTGAATACACTGTCGAAGCATACAGTGAGAGTGTAACACGCATTTTAAAACCTGGATTTTCAAACAATTTATTTACATAATAAACATTATTATTAAATATTGTGCTCAAATGTCAAATATGGTCTGAAAAAGAGGTTATTTCAATGAAATGATCTTTAATACTAGTAACATTGTTTAACTGTTAACTGGAGACCTCAACAACAATAAGATCAAATCCCATGAAGTTAGCATTTAAAAATGTCAATATAAATTGACTTAATTAACGATGTTATATTTGTTCTGTTGTATATTTTGCAGAGTTCTTGGATACTGAGCTCCAGTGGACAAGCAGCTTGACTGAGAGACAGCTGTGAGCAGGTAATGAACGGCTGCTGTGTGACTGCGTTGTTGAATGCTGCCACCTAGTGGACGTTGTGTAATATCGCAGGCGTGTTCAGGTGAAAGCTCACACCCGACACAAGAGCACACAGCTTACTGTAGTTATGACAGTGACCTCAGAGCTTCAGACTCTTATCAGCGGGCTGCAGGCAGAGGGCCAACGTCAGCCCGGCTCTTCCCATCAGGCTCAGTCACAGCATGAAAACAAGTCCTCGACTCCCTGCTGGAGCACGTGCAGACATCATCAAGTGTTTATCTGGTAACAACACAGTATCTTTATGTGGCGGCTGACATATGGGACGTCACCTGACGAGCGGTCACAAGTCACACTTTATTCTGAGAAGACAAGAGCCGATTCAGAGAAGGAGCAGCAACACTCGTGTGTTTATAAGCTTTATTTATGTACAATAAGACACTTCTGGCTCTCCACCATCTGGAATGGCAGTTAACATATTTACAAGATATTTACATGACAAGAATACTATTTAAAAATATCTCTATAAGGCAGGAAAATATATTTGTTCTACGGTAATTATTCCAAAATGAAAAATATCTATTGTGTGAGGAGGCTCAGTATCTTTTAACAGCAGATGTCTCATTTAAGAATGAAACCTCTTGTATCATTAGCTGTAAATGCTGTTTAACTGCTAACATGTTAAGCAATACTGTACCTGTACTATAATGGCTCATGTGTATATAAATCCATGCATTTGAATAGTATTATGGGAAAAACTCATGTTAACATGAAGTTAAAATTAACTTGTAAAATTTTTCTTAATATAAGAAACACACAAATATAATACAGTGCATTCAGGAAGTATTCAGACCCCTTTACATTTTACCAGATTGCAATAATTTCTAAACTTCTTTGTCATTATTGAGTGGAGGTTAAAATCTGAAAACATGAATTGAACTATTTTACCACGAGGCTGCAAAGTGACGACATGAGATACAGTGAAGGGGTGTGAACACTGAATGCACTGTATGAACACATGGATGGTAACATGGGACTAAAACACGCAACAGTTCATGTAATGAAGGAAAGGATGCGTCATTTTCAACACCTCACAATATTTTCATACTTATGAACAGACATTAAGTGTATTGGTTATTTATGTGAAATCATTTAGGTTTTATATTTTTAATCACATTCAAACTGCAAAAAGAAACTGAAAGTAAATCAAACAAACTAAATCAACACTGAAAATAATACAAAGATTAAACGTAGACTCATAGTCGAGCTGAAAATAACACATCCTTCGTAAAAGCATTCAACTCTATTTTCAGCATGATTCATATTTCTTCATCATGCTGAGATGAAAGTGCACAGCTCCGTTCTTTACTGAGAAACGGCTCCACAAAGACCAGATTATATATAATATATATGTATTATACTATACGTTACCTAAATGTCATTTTTCAACCAAGTTGTTGATCTTTTTCCCGTCAAACCATGTTGACCGTGTGACACTGTGTAATAACACGGTGTTATTATCACCCTTTGTTCACAGGTGGAAACAGAAGAATAACGGTCTCGTCCAGGGAAAAGCTGCAGGTGTGCAAATGAGTTTCACCTTCCAGGTAAAGTTCTGATCCCAAACTGACAACATAACCTCCCTCCCTTTAAACCTCCTTTAAAAAAAGGACCACACTGAGTTCTTTGGTAAATTAGCATTAAAGAAATATTCAACTCCATCCATTAAATAATGAGAATGTTAACACCAATCATCATCGTCCACATGTCCCGTTAGCTTTGTTATGCTAATTTTTTTAAGCATTTATACCTCTGAACTTATCAGCAACTAACAGGAATAAAAACAGTGAGAAGATAAACGTACGTGGGAGAAAGGAAACATATGTAAAATCAAACAATAGATAAGTAGAATGACTAAATTAAAACTGGTGTAAAAGCTAATCTATAAAAATAAGTCTTTAGTAGGAGACAATGAGATTGTTTGAACCTGTCAGCGACAACTGGTCAGCAGATCTCAGGCCAGATTGTAGGGAGGGAGAAGGTCACATGATTATCAGTGAGTTTAAAAAGCTAACTCAGTCATCTTAGATACTGAAGGAACCGATAGAGTTTCTATCCACTAGATAAGTGGCAGCCAAGACTCTGCCCAGGAAATCATGGATGATTTGATGTCGTAATTCTGATTATTTAACAATACAACCCCCAAAGTGCTGGTATAAAACATCACTGAACGTTTATTGTGTGACAAGAGTGGTCAGTAAAGTGTTCAAAATCTCTGGTGCGTTCAGTGCATCAGTTCACAAGCAGCTAAAAGGGTTTGTTGTACTGTGTGCTCATTTGCCAAGAACTGAGTGTGATTCCTTTACCACTGAAATGTTTCCCTTGTTCTAGAGATTCCTGAAGAACTGCAGGGAGAGTTCGTAGGTCAGGAACATGGTGGCGCTCATCGGGAAGCCTCGGATGGCGTTTACTGAAGCTCCACGGAAGAAAACCTGCACGTAAACAAAAAAAAAAAAAGAAATCTATTTTAGTGACTTAAATGTTTGACTTTGCATCAGTCTGAATAGGCCTTTTTCACAGCAGACATCTTGACCTGTTGTACTAGGAAAATCCTGTGTTGAATCCACTGCAGTTCAGTTAGAAAATAACTACAGGCTCATTTACTTTCTGTTCAGCCAGTATGAAGCTGCAGCCGAGAGATTAAGACTTTAAGCGGGAGGAGACAGCTAGCTCCACCAAAGTAAAAAATATGTCTCTTACTTTTGTGTTTATTTGATACAGAAATGTAATAAGTTTAGTGTGGCTGGGTGCACTTTACTGTGTGTGTGCATATTAAACAAGTGAGATATGAAATGTTAATTAAGAAGCCTCAGATGTGTAGGCAGGTGCATTTCTGAACTTTGCTTCCAGCCGTTAGCTTCGTACTTAAAGCAACAACATTAATTGATTGCACCTGTTATCGTCTGCTGTCGGCAGAAGAGACAAAATATACAATCAGATATGTTCAGTTCACAACAGACGATCAGGACATGAACTAACTAATGTGGAAAACATCCACAAACATTTGAATTGTTAAAATTAAATGCTATTTGTTGCTTTGTAGTTTGCCTTCCTCATTTAATGTCTTCATTTCACGTCTGTAACTAAACTTAACACATAATAATCCTGCTTTGGAGGACAGTGTCCTTGATAACCACTCATTGATCCGTGACCTTCAGATGACAGGAACAGTCCAGTTCTCTCTCAGAACACCAATGACGTTCTGTTATTGATCACATGAGTGTTGTATCGGGCAAAGCACACTTCCATGTTGAAAGCTGGAGAGTGTGTCTGCGTTTTGTAACAGCTGACTTCATGAAACATCATGGACCCCGACACCTTGACCTTGCGTTTGGCTGTTGTTCTGTTTTCGATTTTAGGCCGAGAAGGCAGCAACTGATGCAGCTGTGCACGTGATGTAACCACCACTGCAATCTGCAAGTTCATGTTGCATCTCCTTCTTCATTTGCTGATCCATCAAATCCATTTTGTAATTTAAGATGGGAGCTGCTGTTTCCTCCGTATTTCATTAATGTAACCTGTATTTATAAATGACATTATTCCAAATTAAACTCATCTGATTATCAGTCACTCTCTGGCCAGATGTTTGTTTTCTTTTTAATGCTGTATTTCTGGGTGTGACGCCCTCTGGCTGTCGATGTTGTAATGTGACCCTCACCAGAAGAAGCTTGTCTGGATGCTGAGCTTTCATTCACTGACAGAATCATGTGGTTCAACACACTTCAGGGGGGTTTGAGTTCTGAGAACGCAGCCTGACTCGTCTGGGTTTCAATGTTTTTCTAGGGTCTCATTTTCTAAATCATTAAACCATCTGTTACAGCAGCTGATATAGTAACATTGGCTGAGTGGTGGCATTTAGTTTCTATTTTAAGTCTCAAAGACAAAAATACTTTAGCACTTTCTATGAATTGTGTATGTAAATGTACTCTGAGGTAGGATTTATAGCCTATAAAAACATTTTAAACAATTGAATAAAAACAAGCTAATAAAAGCCCTGAAACTGACTGATCAGTATTAAAACAATGTTCAGTACTGCAGGGTTTATCATCCTTAGCGTAGTGACAGACACTCTACAGTAAGTAGATTCTGAAGTTAATATTTAAGCTTTCCTGCTTCTCTCTCTTTTACATCATTGTAAATTGAATATCTGGGTTTTGGACAGTTTGGACTTTTCCATCGCAGCTTCTCAGACAGTTTGTAGACAAAACGATTTAATCGAGAAAATAAACAACAGATTATTTGATAACTGGTAGTTGCAGCCCTACAATAAACGCAAACTCTACCTATTAATATCGTTTACCAAACTACATCTCCAACATCTCCTTCCACAGGTTAATTAGCTCAGTTAATAAGCCACATCCTGTCTCAAATACATTTATTAAATATGACATTAGCTCTGTTAAAAACTGCCTCTGCTGATTCATGTTATTGTTTCATTTCCTGAAAGTGGTGGGAGGGGCTTCAGACCAGATATAAAATGTAGAGAATCTACACTGTGTTTAACACATTACAGCACATTTTTTGAAAAGCTGAATTTTTGTTTTGGTCTATTTAATATTTAAAGCTCAAAAATACAATTCTCTGGCAGCAGAAGCTTGGACTGAGCTCCAGCTGTTAATAATGAGAAGAAGTCTTGTACCTTTTAAAAAAGAAGCAGTTTTATGGTTGTGTTATGTCTCCGGTCACCGCTCACCTGTAAACCCTCTGTCTTGTAGCTGTGGATGATGCAGTGTAAGATTCCCCTGTACTTCCTCTGCAGCTGCGCGTCGGCCTGCATTCGGCTCTTCACCACATCAGCCGGCGTGGCCGTGACCCAGGAAATGGACCCTGAGTAAGAGGAGAGTGCTCTTTTAGTTCCTGTTGACCTGTTTACAGACTGTCAGGTGAAGCGAGGCACTAAACATTCGCAGGGTTACGGGTTCAATTCCCTGCAGCAAGTGAAGCTGAGAGTCGGAGGATACAGCATCAAAGAAAGAAAAAGATAAACGCTGTGTTCCACTTCGAATTCAAAAATCCAACAAACAAAATTAGGCTGATGAATTCATCATATTCCATTTAATATTTTGTATCTTTTTGTTTTATTATGTTTGAGTCTTCTTATTCTGCCATGTGTTTCTTTTATCTCTTGTCTTATTGCCTTTCTGTCTTATGTAAAGCACTTTGAATTGCCTTGTTGTTGAGGTGTTAAATAAATAAACTTGCCTCGTCTATAATTAAACTGTGCTACAGGAGACTGCTGTTAAACACCTTAATTAGCCGGTTGTTTTCTAAGCAGGACCTCTGGAACACAGAGCGATCAAAGGTTGGAAATTTAAACGGAGAACTTCATTAAAAAGAAGTGTCATTTACAAACTTCCTGCTGAAAGCTGGATCACTCTGAGGACTCAGCTGGACCTGGTCCCGCTCCTCAAATCTAACCCGACAGAAAACAGAACTAACTGACTAAAACTAAACTAATGGTACATTCAAAGTTATTTATTTGTTCAGACAGCTGACCAAGTGGAAAAGTACCAGCAGTCAAGTGGAAATAAGTGAAAGCCACAGCAGCGGTATCACTTAAAAGGTGAAACTCAGCTGATGCATTTTATATTAGACCACAAACCTACTAAGGCAGGAAAGCACTGCCATTTTAACAGGAAATAAGTTCCCCGTAACAAAGATTGCAGATAGATTAGTTTACTGGACATATATGGAAGAACTGAAATCCAGAGGCAGTGAACGTCAACTTGCCAATTCAGGCCCGATTCCAGGCTAAACATCCAAACTTCACTGATTAATGGAACACAGCTGATCTTAGCTTTCCGTCCTGCACGATTTCGCTCCGTCACGTGTTCATGGCTGGTCTGCATCTGGAAGCGAGTCTACTTGAACCTCTGAGACCAAACAAATCTCAAATTGGAGCACAAGTTTCTTGTGTTTATCTTAAATTGGAGCTGTAATGTTACCACATGTCATATGACAAATGCAACAAGATTTCTTGTAATTACTCAGCCCTGAAATTAGGTCATTATACTAGTAAACCAACAAAGGTCCAATCTACATCACACCTTTATGAGCAAAGTTTTTCACGGGTCAATAAAAACAGCAGACATCAAGAAATAAAACAGGACACAGCCGTCAATAAAAAAAACCTGTCTGCACAAACAGAAACTGTCCATACTGCTGACTGACCAGATCAAGGCCAATGTGGGTTGTACCTTAACAGTAAAGAGGTTTGTGGCTGCAGAGAAAGCAGGAAAAGCATGTGATAGAGCAGGATGCAGTATGTAAATTAAAATAAATACTTCAGAAAACACACATCTGAAAAAGCGAAGTAAACTATACAAATGAAACCGAAAATACGTCTCTACAGCTGAGTTGAAAAGCTGCGATATAGTTTGGGACGTTTACCTGCGAGTCCTCCGGCGAGCCAGATAGAACATGGATGAGGGCTTGACGTGGCGTCTGGCTTCAACAGGTTGCAGAACATGGTGTAAGGAATGAAGTAGAGCGTGTATCCAGGAACGTCCCTCAGAATCATGGCCCCAGCCCCCCTGTACAGGCCCTGCAGCCCCTCAGTCTGCAGGATGCTGCTGATACAGTGGATGGGTCCTCTGTAAAGTCTCTGGCTGGGGATGTTGACGGAGCGCAGAGGGATGTTGGTGCCATTCGATACGCTGCCAGCAAGGTGTAAATTCTCTGTAGGACACATATTAAAAATGATAGGGAGGTCAGTCACATGTCGTACAGTGAGTGTTGAAACTAATCTCACCTATTTTGTGATTCTGTGGGTGTATTATCACGTTTCAAATGAATCACAGAACAGTGTCCTGAAATGACACTCAACCTGCTGCCTGACACAGAGTAAACTTTCTGTACTATCATAAAACCATTAGCTGGATGTATCCGCAGTCAAGGCCAAAGTGTCTGAAGAAGGTAATGAAACAAATGTAGGTGATGACACGACGAGTGTGAAGAGTGTGAGCATGACAGATCCCATAAACAAATAAAAGAGAATAAACTTTTCACGTGGCGTTTCATCTTATGATTAAACTTCTGACCTCAGTTTTATTGGTTTACTGTTTTATGGAGAGGAAGCAGCCCAGAAGACGCAACACCACCAGGAATTTAACCTCCATACAGGTTTGAAAAGTGACCTTTTACCTTTTATACTATGACATTTTAAGCCTTATAAGTTTTTTCACGTTTTCATGCCCTGCTATACTATGACGTTTTTATGTCTTACTATAGTATGACATTTTATGATGTTTATATCTTACTATACTGTGACGTTTTTATGTCTTACTGTACTTTGACATTTTTTGACATTTTCATGCCTTGCTATACTATGACGTTTTTTGACGTTTTTATGCTATGCTATACTATGACGTTTTTTGACGTTAAATGCCTTGCTATACTATGACGTTTTTTGACGTTTTTATACCTTGCTATAATATGACGTTTTTTGACGTTACTATACTATTACGTTTTTGTGTCTTACTATACTATGATGTTTTTTGACGTATTTATGTCTTATTACACTATGACGTTTTTTGACGTTTTCGTGCCTTGCTATACTATGACGTTTTTTGACGTTTTCATGCCTTACTATACTATGACGTTTTTTGACGTTTTTATGCCTTGCTATACTATGAAGTCTTTTGATGTTTTTATGCTATGCTATACTATGACGTTTTTTGACGTTTTTATACCTTGCTATATAATGACGTTTTTTGATGTTTTTATGCCATGCTATACTATGACGTTTTTTGACGTTACTATACTATTACGTTTTTTGACGTTACTATACTATTACGTTTTTGTGTCTTACTGTACTATGATGTTTTTTGACGTATTTATGTCTTATTACACTATGACGTTTTTTGACGTTTTTGTGCCTTACTATACTATGACGTTTTTATGCCTTACTATACAATGATGTTTTTTGACGTTTTTATGCCTTACTATACTATGACGTTTTTTGACGTTTTTATGTCTTACTATACTATGACGTTTTTTGAGGTTTTCATGCCTTGCTATACTATGACGTTTTTTGACTTTTTTTTTGCTATGCTATACTATGACGTTTTTTGACGTTAAATGCCTTGCTATACTATGACGTTTTTTGACTTTTTTTTTGCTATGCTATACTATGACGTTTTTTGACGTTTTTATGCTATGCTATACTATGACATTTTTTGACGTTTTAATGCCATGCTATACTATGACGATTTTTGACGTTACTATACTATTACGTTTTTGTGTCTTACTATACTATGATGTTTTTTGACGTATTTATGTCTTATTACACTATGACGTTTTTTGACGTTTTTATGCCTTACTATACTATGACGTTTTTTGACGTTTTTATGCCTTGCTATACTATGAAGTTTTTTGACGTTTTTATGCTATGCTATACTATGACGTTTTTTGACGTTAAATGCCTTGCTATACTATGACGTTTTTTGACGTTTTTATACCTTGCTATACAATGACGTTTTTTGACGTTTTTATGCCATGCTATACTATGACGTTTTTTGACTTTTTTTTTGCTATGCTATACTATGACGTTTTTTGACGTTAAATGCCTTGCTATACTATGACGTTTTTTGACGTTTTTATGCCATGCTATACTATGACGTTTTTTGACGTTACTATACTATTACGTTTTTGTGTCTTACTATACAATGATGTTTTTTGATGTATTTATGTCTTATTACACTATGACGTTTTTTGACGTTTTTATGCCTTACTATACTATGACGTTTTTTGACGTTTTTATGCCTTACTATACTATGACGTTTTTTGACGTTTTTATGCCTTACTATACTATGACGTTTTTTGACGTTTTTATGCCTTACTATACTATGACGTTTTTTGACGTTTTTATGCCTTACTATACTATGACGTTTTTTGACGTTTTTATGCCTTACTATACTATGACGTTTTTTGACGTTTTTATGCCTTACTATACTATGACGTTTTTTGACGTTTTTATGCCTTACTATACTATGACGTTTTTTGACGTTTTTATGCCTTACTATACTATGACGTTTTTTGACGTTTTTATGCCTTACTATACTATGACGTTTTTTGACGTTTTTATGCCTTACTATACTATGACGTTTTTTGACGTTTTTATGCCTTACTATACTATGACGTTTTTTGACGTTTTTATGCCTTACTATACTATGACGTTTTTTGACGTTTTTATGCCTTACTATACTATGACGTTTTTTGACGTTTTTATGCCTTACTATACTATGACGTTTTTTGACGTTTTTATGCCTTACTATACTATGACGTTTTTTGACGTTTTTATGCCTTACTATACTATGACGTTTTTTGACGTTTTTATGCCTTACTATACTATGACGTTTTTTGACGTTTTTATGCCTTACTATACTATGACGTTTTTTGACGTTTTTATGCCTTACTATACTATGACGTTTTTTGACGTTTTTATGCCTTACTATACTATGACGTTTTTTGACGTTTTTATGCCTTACTATACTATGACGTTTTTTGACGTTTTTATGCCTTACTATACTATGACGTTTTTTGACGTTTTTATGCCTTACTATACTATGACGTTTTTTGACGTTTTTATGCCTTACTATACTATGACGTTTTTTGACGTTTTTATGCCTTACTATACTATGACGTTTTTTGACGTTTTTATGCCTTACTATACTATGACGTTTTTTGACGTTTTTATGCCTTACTATACTATGACGTTTTTTGACGTTTTTATGCCTTACTATACTATGACGTTTTTTGACGTTTTTATGCCTTACTATACTATGACGTTTTTTGACGTTTTTATGCCTTACTATACTATGACGTTTTTTGACGTTTTTATGCCTTACTATACTATGACGTTTTTTGACGTTTTTATGCCTTACTATACTATGACGTTTTTTGACGTTTTTATGCCTTACTATACTATGACGTTTTTTGACGTTTTTATGCCTTACTATACTATGACGTTTTTTGACGTTTTTATGCCTTACTATACTATGACGTTTTTTGACGTTTTTATGCCTTACTATACTATGACGTTTTTTGACGTTTTTATGCCTTACTATACTATGACGTTTTTTGACGTTTTTATGCCTTACTATACTATGACGTTTTTTGACGTTTTTATGCCTTACTATACTATGACGTTTTTTGACGTTTTTATGCCTTACTATACTATGACGTTTTTTGACGTTTTTATGCCTTACTATACTATGACGTTTTTTGACGTTTTTATGCCTTACTATACTATGACGTTTTTTGACGTTTTTATGCCTTACTATACTATGACGTTTTTTGACGTTTTTATGCCTTACTATACTATGACGTTTTTTGACGTTTTTATGCCTTACTATACTATGACGTTTTTTGACGTTTTTATGCCTTACTATACTATGACGTTTTTTGACGTTTTTATGCCTTACTATACTATGACGTTTTTTGACGTTTTTATGCCTTACTATACTATGACGTTTTTTGACGTTTTTATGCCTTACTATACTATGACGTTTTTTGACGTTTTTATGCCTTACTATACTATGACGTTTTTTGACGTTTTTATGCCTTACTATACTATGACGTTTTTTGACGTTTTTATGCCTTACTATACTATGACGTTTTTTGACGTTTTTATGCCTTACTATACTATGACGTTTTTTGACGTTTTTATGCCTTACTATACTATGACGTTTTTTGACGTTTTTATGCCTTACTATACTATGACGTTTTTTGACGTTTTTATGCCTTACTATACTATGACGTTTTTTGACGTTTTTATGCCTTACTATACTATGACGTTTTTTGACGTTTTTATGCCTTACTATACTATGACGTTTTTTGACGTTTTTATGCCTTACTATACTATGACGTTTTTTGACGTTTTTATGCCTTACTATACTATGACGTTTTTTGACGTTTTTATGCCTTACTATACTATGACGTTTTTTGACGTTTTTATGCCTTACTATACTATGACGTTTTTTGACGTTTTTATGCCTTACTATACTATGACGTTTTTTGACGTTTTTATGCCTTACTATACTATGACGTTTTTTGACGTTTTTATGCCTTACTATACTATGACGTTTTTTGACGTTTTTATGCCTTACTATACTATGACGTTTTTTGACGTTTTTATGCCTTACTATACTATGACGTTTTTTGACGTTTTTATGCCTTACTATACTATGACGTTTTTTGACGTTTTTATGCCTTACTATACTATGACGTTTTTTGACGTTTTTATGCCTTACTATACTATGACGTTTTTTGACGTTTTCATGCCTTGCTATACTATGAACTTTTTTGACGTTAAATGCCTTGCTATACTATGACGTTTTTTGAAGTTTTTATGCTATGCTATGACGTTTTTTGACGTTAAATACCTTGCTATACAATGATGTTTTTTGACGTTTTTATGCCTTACTATACTATGACGTTTTTTGACGTTTTTATGTCTTACTATACTATGACGTTTTTTGACGTTTTTATGCTCTGCTATACTATGACGTTTTTTGAAGTTAAATGCCTTGCTATACAATGACGTTTTTATGTCTTACTATACTATGACGTTTTTTGACGTTTTTATGCTCTGCTATACTATGACGTTTTTTGAAGTTAAATGCCTTGCTATACAATGACGTTTTTATGTCTTACTATACTATGACGTTTTTTGACGT